TCACCGGCTGAATCTCGCCCTTAGTTTCCGAGACAAGTAACGTGCCATCTTTTTCTCACCCGCAGGATATAAGTGCGATGTTGATGATGATGGATGTCCACGCAGGAGACACCGTTTTGGAAACTGGCAGCGGGTCTGGCGCTCTAAGCTTGTTTCTGTCCAGAGCGGGTGAGAACCTGGTTTTAGAAAACATAGAAGCAGTGCAGTTCCCTTATCACATGTTGCCTTTCTTTTGACCAAATACTTATGGTCAGTTCTTCGAAGTCTTGCAGTAGTTCACATGTTCATATACAGTTTGTTGACTTAAAGGAAAGTTATGCCTGTGCCAGATCTAGTGCAGGGACTGCAAAACATTTTGACTGTATTTTGAAGGCCATAGTACAAAGGGTTACTGAAGGTCCTGCAGAAAGCTGAGTTTTAGCTATCATTATTGTTTGCTTTGGCTTAACCCTACTAGACTTTCTCTAATCTCTTGCCTTTCTCAGTTTCCTTTTCCTCATCTTGACGTGACTAATCAGATTCCTGGGTACCAGTGAAAATGTTTATGTGGACACACACTGGAATTTTTTCATGTTACAGCTAGTCTGGTTTGATCTAGGTCTCGGTGCTCTAAAAGGTAGAGAGCCTTTCTACTCAGCAATGTGAGTGAGGGTGAAACCTCACCTTTAAACTTCATCTCATCTGTAGGTGTCCTGTTAGCGGACCGCATTTCAGAGTAATTTGATTTATGGGCTCCTGGTAGAACAACTCCCTTCAGGAAAGAAAAAAACAAACCAAAAACCCCACAATCGTTTGCTGTAATTGCTTTTGCACACACCTGAAAAATAAAGCACCATTTGAATTTGGTTTTCAAAATGTTTGGGTTTTATTTAAATGTATTTCTGCTATTGCAGAATACTGCCCTTCTCTGCAATATTAAGGGACTTTTGAGGGTAAAGACAGGGGCCTTATCATGGATCATCTTGAACTGATACAGCAGAAAAACACGAGCTGCATATCCTGAAGGCTTATGTTCAAAGACAGGGTTTGTGGGCAACCCACTATCAGAGTAACTGAATACCTGAGGGTGCCAGCAGTGGTCGCTGAACCTGAGAAGCACCCTGTATCCTGAGCTTCTGTGAAACCTCAGCACTAACGCTTCTCTGACTATTTTCTAGTGTGTGTTATAAAGCATTGATGTAGACTATGCTCTCTTTGTAAAATGTTTATGGTTTGGGCTGCCTTTGTGGTTGTACTCTGTACCATTCAACAGTTCAAGATAGAAAACGTTTCAGTACTCCTGCTTACAGCCAGCCAAGTATCTGTGGGAGGTGATGCTTCCTCTTAGCTCTTGTGAGGGAGACAAACGGAACAAATCAGCTGCTCTTTTTGTTCAAGTCCATTAAATAACCTTAGAACTCGAGGGCAGTGAATTAGTTTTCTCTTACTCTCCCACGTAGCAACGCTGTGTATCTGCTGTTCCTTGGCACGTGCTCCAGGATAACAATACAAGGCTTTTTAGAAGCGCAAGTTTTTCTGAGGAAGTTCAGTATTCAGCAAGTATGTTACCAGTGTCATCGATCCAACCCTGCTCTGGGATGCCAGGTCACACTGCTGAGGATAACGTGAGGAATTAGGAACGGTTACACGTGGTGAATGGCACAAACCAGAGCACTGAGATCCATCAGGAGCTTAAAATTGCTGAGGGTGTGTAAGCAGCAGCAAAGGGAATCTGGAGGGTCCCCTACTGAGATGAATGAACAGAGCAGTTTGTTCTTCTTAGCCCTTTGGTTTAGCTGCAGTAATCTCCAGCTGGCATACTAATTCAGTTGAAAATGCTTATTTTAATGATCAGCCATTAAATGTTGCCCCAAGATCACTCAGGTGCAGGTGGTCTTGACATACGTTGGGCCCAGGTTTTGAGGTCAGCAGTTGCACCTCTGCTCCCTCTCTTTCTGCCTCCTACTGCTATTCCTTAGTTCCTTCCGATCATCTTTCTGCAATAAACTAGGGTTTTTTGTAGTTCCACAATGGGATTTTTAAGATAGTATGGGATTATCCTCAAAGCAACCACTGCTGCCATGGGAGCTAGAAGCTGACAAAACAGAAGATGAAAGTCAGCATTTCTGTTTCCAGAGATGCCTTTGGGGAGAGGGAAAGTAAGAGTCATTAGCTTTTCCCATCTTCTCCTACATGCAGACCTTAAATCCAAAGAAAGAGATTAAATACCTGATGTTGGCTAAGGCAAGTTAGCTTTTGCTAAATACAGCAAATTATTTTCTGCCTTGGGTATTCAGTCCACTGTGGCCATTTCATACAAAAACACCTGGACTTACCAGTTATTCCTCTCCTTTCTCAGTCTTGTCCAATAGGTTCCTTCCGATCACTTTAATTTAGCTGTAACTGTGCCAAGTCAGCAAAATCCTTGGCATCACCAGACTGTTAACCCTATCCATGGGAAGCAAGTAGTCCTTGTGTGCCAGTTCACCTCTGTCTTGAGGAGAGGTAAAATGGTATGAGATTGTATTGCTATTTTCAGATTTATTGAACTTAAACCAGTGCCAAATATGGACAGTGTTAGTCACAGTATAACACAATTTGGCGCTGACCCAGAAATAGATTTGATTTGCTCTTTCCTAATGGTGGCTGATTTTGCCAGCATTTAATAGAGTGATACCCAACAAGAAAAATAGCTGCTACACAGGTAAATGCTGGAACTAAATCTAGTGGACACATTACCAAGGTCCATGGAAGTATTTAATTTCCCAAATTTTCATTGATTTAACAGATTTCATTTAATCTCCTCTCTTAGTGTTACTCTCAGTTTGTTTTATTTTCCTTTCCTTCTTTTATCTTTCCCAGAAACCACTGACATGCAACAGGACAAAGTTAAGACTGTGTTAAGAATATAGCATTTTCCGTGACTTTAAGATCTTTGAGAACTGGAAAGTATGATGTATGCAAACTTGACATACTGCAGCTTCACAGTAATGAAGAGTTTTGCCTAGATATTTTGACTAGTTGTCTGTATTTTTCCAGAAGTCATTTTCAAAATGCAGGAAATTTTTGGAATTAGCAGAGGAAGGAGTAAGACTGTAAGACTGACCCCAATGTGACCAATTTCATTCTTCCAGTAGTTCCAAACTGATAATCTTGAGTAAAAAGGAGTTGGTGCTGTGATTCTGCAGCTGCTTAAGGTGATAAAAGGCGACACTGCTGAAACCCTCCCTCCTTACATGTTGGCTCTGGCCTCTGTCTGATCCAGGGTGAGCTAGATCAGGGAGAGACTGCCGGGAAACCCATCCCTCTTTTGTTCAGTTTTCTGAATGGATTCACAGTGGGATCACATAGGTGAGGGAAGGAGCCTGGTGACTCCAACCTGAAATGGCTTAAAAAGTCACAGAACCTCACCCGCAGAGCTGCTGATTGCTGAAAGCTGTCTTTGCACGTTAAAAAGTAGCAAGGACAAAGAGAAGCTAATGGTGTGATAGGTTTGTGAAATTAGAGTAATACAAGGATAGAATAATACAGCAACGCACATCATGCTGTCTGTGCCTGGATGTCCTTGTAACACTTCCTTTATGAAGAACATTGTGTATTGGACCCATATGGTAAATGTCAGGAGAGTAAATTTGCACTTAAATAATTTATTACAGTTACAGACAATAAGAGGAAAATAACACATGCCTGTGTAAATCAAAGAGTACACTTGAAAACTTGTCTATGGGGCTGAGGTCGGTGAGCCGGCACGGAGGTTTTCTTAGCCTTTCCCCAACCCTGAAAAGGGACAGGTGGAGAAAGAACTATGCATGGAAAATAGCAAACCTTTGTAAAAATGAAGTTTGGGGGAAAAAAAAAAAAATTTAATCCAGCAGTTTCAAATCTTATTAACACCAGAAGCAGTCACTGTCTGTCAGCTTTAGAGCATCTGTGAGGAGTGACCGATGTAGCAGCTTTCTCGGCTGGTACCTCTGGTAGCTGTAGCAGGAGAATCATCAATTGCTAGGGCCACAGATGCTCGAGTTGCCTTTTGCCGCAGGAGTTACTTCAGCAGGGCATCTTAGGAACAGTTTGTACTACAACTATGCTTTATTGCATCTGTGGATCGATGGATTTCAGTCTGTGAAAGCACTTTATCTGCATATATTTTTTTTTAAATATAAAGAAAAAATAAACTGTAATTGTTTTGCATGTGATTATTTTCTAAAGTGAAGTTGAGATTTAAAGGTGTGCTCCTGTCATTTACTGTGCTACTTCTTTCTAAATTCGTTATAACAGAGGGGGGGGAGTAGTAAGTCTGGTTATCTTTTGTTCATTTTCAGTTGGGCCCAAAGGACATATTATAAGTTATGAAATCAGAGATGATCATCACAATTTAGCTAAGAAGAATTACAGGCACTGGCGTGCTGCATGGGAAATAGGACATAAGGAAGAGTGGCCAGATAATGTGGATTTCATTCTTAAAGACATTTCAACAGCTGCTGCGGATATGAAATCTGTAACACTTGACGCAGTAAGTCCAAAAAATCCCCCCATTTGATGTTTATTTTTTTTCTGCCTAAAATAAAACCTCTAGTGCTCACACTCACAATGGGATTGCCATATCTAGTTTAACATGAGAAAAAACAATCAGATCCTCATCAATGAAAGAAACATTGTGATTTATTTTTTTTTGTCAGATTACAAGTATTTTCAAGGTTTCAGTTACAGTTTCCCAAATGAAAGGGCTATATGGCTGTAGTACAGAAATACTACAATTAATCGCTGCTGTCTTGTAAGCGAAGTTACTTCTATTTTGGATATTTTTGTATCTGACTAAGACATAGATTTAAAATATAAATAAATTTAAGAAAAATACATAAGCTTATTGAAACTACAAATATGTAAACACTTTGCTATCAGCTACATAGAACGCACAATGTAACTAAGGCCTAAGTTAGAGTAAGGAACGCTACTGCTTGCTCTCCTCTCCTGCTGTTTATACCCAGATTTTGTAAAGGGAGGTGTGCTGGGGGAAACAGCTAGATGTTAACCACCCTTCCATGTAAAGCAGACAAACTACTTATGTGAACACTTCAAACAAATGACAGTTGTGTTAAACACATTGAGCAAAGAAAATACATAGCATAAAAATACCATTTTTAAAACTTTAATTGTAACTACACAGGAAGGATCAGATATTTCATATCTCATTGTTTTACAGTTTGAATAGTTTTCTAGCAGAAGATGGATAAATTACCAAAGACAAGTTTTCTAAATCTTGAAACAAACAGCAAGTTAGACATTGAGACTGTATTGTGATCTTTTTGTGATAAAGATGCACTTGAACATGCTTTTTTTTTTTACATTTGAAAACTAGATATCCAAAGGTGTTAGTAAATGTAGTCTTCTAAAGTTTTTATTAATGTCAACATTATGGAATTTAATTAGTAGGAGGTTGAACATTAACACAGGACTACTGTGTTGGTGAAATGCTACTTGCCGTTTTAATAGAAATTCATTTGGAAGTAGCAAGGACTTTGTTTTGTAAATGCGTGGACCTCAGGTTTCTCTAAGGTTTTGAGAGGCAGTAATAAAACTGGTTTGTGATTACATACTGCTGTTATATGCATTCTTTTGCCATGGATAAACGTTGTTTTTCCAAGCATTGTTGTAATGGAAAAAAAATAATATATATATTAATATTTATGGGGAAAACACATGCATCTTTCTTTTGCAGATAGTTCTGGATATGCTTAACCCTCAGTCAGCTCTGCCTATTGTACACCCAAGTCTGAAACAGGGTGGTGTGTGCGCGGTGTATTTAGCAAAGTAAGTTTTTACTTCTGGCACTTACGCATGTATTCAGGCATCACCTAGCATTGTTACAAAACCAAACATCTTTTAAAATATACATCCAGCAATAATGAAATGTTTAACTAAATTATTTTTTTCCCCATGTAATTTTTTCAGGGAGTTGCACTCAATATAAAGTACACTTGGCCATATCCTTTGGCATTTACTTTGGGAACGTTCTCATTATGGTCAGCGGAAGTTTTCGCTTAATGACATCCTCAAAATAATGTACTGTTTCCCAGTTCAGTAGTCAGGTTGCTTGCTCCTTTACCCTAAAATTGATGGACTTGTGTAACCTCAAAGGTAAAGAATGTGACAAAGGCAGTAGAATTGAGACTAATGGATTTGATTTGATTTTTCTAAATACTACTTTATCCTTTGCATTTCTTCAAAAGCATCACACAGGTTATTGACCTTTTAGACACAATACGGACCCGCAAGCTTCCTTTTTTGTGTGAAAGAATCATTGAGGTAACTCATAGAAATTGGCTGGTTCTCCCTGCTAAAATTAAGAATGGCAAATCAAGCCAAATGATGGAAACTCAAGAAAATAGTGAAGAACCACCTCAAAAGCAATACGAAGAAATCCACATTCAGGATCAAGTAGTTCTTAAAGAAAGTGAATACAATGGTAAGAACATTATTGCTGATGAGAGATCCTGTTACTGCAATTTGATAACCCAAGGATACAATGAAGGCAAAGTCTGTAGGAAGAAGGCAGTATTTTATTCTTGGGTCAGCTGAGATTGTTGTGAAGAATAGACAAGCTTCTGGACAGCCTAGACCTTGTCAGGTTTGAAAAAGGATATATTAATTGTCATTAAGTTTAAATATCTTACTAAAAATTAGACTAAATAGAAAATAAATTGCAATCTGCAAATAAAGAATGACTGCCCTTCTACTACTGTTCTCAAATTCTTATTTTTTAATGAAATTCAGTCCTCTGTACTCGTCCTGTAGCTGGTTTACAGGACCCGGATTGGCTTAAGGATTCCATAGAGGAAACATTACCAGTGTGCTCTATTTTGTAATCACGCTGCTCTGGCAAATCCAAAATACATGCCTCATACTAATACAGATTTGCAAAATCCATAGTAGAGCAGCAGTCTGAATGTGCTGATAGGTGACAACAAAGCACTTCAACAGAAGCAAAAAGAAAATGAAAGTATGTCGGGGAAAAATAATCCATGTGCATTGGCAATTCTAGTCTACATGTATGTTTTAAACTTGTTAGAAAGAATTAAAAAAAAAATTTATTTCTCCCAGAATCACTTTCTGATGATGCTGAAACATACTGCTCGGTGCCCTACGTTGCTAGACCATCTTATTGGCAGGATGCTCATTCAGGTGAGACACTTGAAAAATGTTTTTGCATCTTAAATGTTTAAGTGGTATTTTATTTTCAAAAATACTATCTTTTGTACTAGCATTTGACATGCTACTATATCATGGAATCATAAAACTTATAATAATAAACTAAGCGTTGTATATTGAAATACTGAAGTAGTAACTTGTTTTGTTTTTTAATTAGCATTCCTTACCAAGCTGAGAAAGTTTCGACCACTGGTTTCTTGATGCTGCTGAGATGTTAGCTGCTAATTTGAGTGTTGTATCAGAATAAAATAAAATGTTACAAAATAAATGCTGCTACATTTTGCAAGTTGTGTAACTTACGTTTGAAATCCCACCTACTATTTAAAGGGAAAAGTTGTAATAGAATCATCAGGTATGGTGTCACTATGCAACACAGACTGTTCCGCAACGCAGCACATCTGTTCTGTCTCCCTGGGTATATTTCATTTTTCACTGCTTGAAAACCAGTCCATGGATTTGTCTTGGTTGAAGGTGCTACCTTGTGTCCTTTTGTTGGACAGGCTCTGACAGTCTACCAGAAATAAGGAGAAAAAAAATCTAGTAAGAAAATAATGTATCAAAGTCTGCCCTTTGAAATGCAGGTGAAGCTTCCGACTTCACTGGCTGCCAACTGGTGGCTATCAGTTTTTTTAAGACCAATGTTCTTAAAGCACAACTGTAAGAGAAACTGAAATTCACTGAATTGGTTATCTTGATAAAGCTGTGCTTATTTCAAGAAAAAGACCAGTTGTTGACAGGTATACCTTTGGTTCACCTCCACTAGCCATGCTGAAAGTTGCCTGGTTATTTGTGTGCTTTACATAAAGCATTCTCAAATGGTCAAAATAAACACAATTTTTTTCTGACCTTTGTCAGATATGGAAGACAAGAGCCCTCAAGTAAAAATAGATTTTAAATTAAATCTTTTAGGGTCTCCCATAAGTCTCCACATAAGCATGTGGTGACACGTTAAATTTATTAAATGACATGTTGTAGCCACCTGACTACTTCTGTATCTCATGGAAGATTCAAATGCCAAATTTTTCAGAGTTGAAGCATCTCTTGAGAATCACAGTTGTACTGAAGCTGTCAAAAGCAGTAACACAATCCTACTAGAATAGTGAAAATGTGGATATTAGTGAGAACATATGCAAGTAAAAAATAGAGCTGTAATTGTAACCCTCTATTAAATAAGTATACTAAGAACTCCACAGTGGTTAAACACATGAAAGCATCTTTGCAGAACTGAGGCCTTGTACAGGTCCCCTGGGAAGTTTACCTCTCATTGTTTAGTTTATTATTAAGAGTGGAACACACTTGACTGTTTGCCCCATAACTGCTGTATGTAATAGAGGCTTCTCATACAAAGGCTCAGGATGCTATTTGGAGTAGATTAATGTGCAAAGATTCAATTACGTAGAACAGTTTTCACAATAAACTCTTGTATTGTTTTCTACTTGTAGTACTCCAATCTTAAACGGAAATCTTGTATAAACTCTGTCAACAATTAAGATACACTTAAAGGAAAAGTGTATCCCAAGTAGCTAGTGATAGGACAAGAGGAAATGGGCTCAAGCTGCGCCAGGGGAGGTTTAGATTGGATATTAGGAAAAATTTCTTCATGGAAAGGGTGGTCAAGAATTGGAACGGGCTGCCCAGAGAGGTGGTGGAGTCACCATGCCTGTAAGTGTTCAAAAAACAGGTAGACGTGGCACTCTGGGACATGGTTTAGTGGGCATGGTGGTGTTTGTTAGGTTGATGATTGGACTGATGATTTTAGAGGTCCTTTCCAACCTTAATGATTCCTAGTTTTTACTTTCATTATAAATAATCCAGCCACCAAGACAGGAAACATGAAATTGCTACTCTACCCTTAATTGGTTTAGTGATGGACTTGGTAATGTTAGGTTAATGGTTGGACTGGATGATCTTAAAGGTCTTTTCCAACCTAAACGATTCTATGATTCTATGAAAACATGAATTGTGATTTAACATACATGTAAACTGATGACAGCAACTGAGCAACCTGCCCTCTCTAAAAACAGAGCTCTCCACAAGAGCACTTTAACTCACACACACTCTTAACTCACATGACACACCCTAGTATTTTACTGTTTCTTCTAGCCAATCCTAAGTGTTTAAAATAGGATTCGCAATTTAATTTATAATGCAAGAAAGTAATAAATGCCTAATAGACTGGAACGCAACCCAAAATCTACCAGAGTAGATGAAGGTAATTTGAAGAGACTGAGAATATAAAAGCAGTTGGTGCTTCCAGGAAGTCATAGAATCGGAATCAGAGAATGGTTTGGGTTGGAAGGGACCTTAAAGATCATCTAATTCCAACCCCCCTGCCATTGCCAGGGACACTAAGAAAGTAATAAATGCCTAATAGACTGGAACGCAACCCAAAATCTACCAGAGTAGATGAAGGTAATTTGAAGAGACTGAGAATATAAAAGCAGTTGGTGCTTCCAGGAAGTCATAGAATCGGAATCAGAGAATGGTTTGGGTTGGAAGGGACCTTAAAGATCATCTAATTCCAACCCCCCTGCCATTGCCAGGGACACTAAACCAGGTTGCTCAGAGCCCCATCCAACCTGGCCTTGAACACTGCCAGGGATGGGGCATCCACAACTTCTCTGGGCAACCTGTTCCAGTGCCTCACCACCCTCAGAGTGAAGAATTTCTTCCTTATATCTAGTCTAAAGCTACCCTCTTTCAGTTTAAAGCCATTAGCCCTTGTCCTATCACTACACGCCCTTGTAAAAAGTCCCTCTCCAGCTTTCTTGTAGGCCCCCTTCAGGTACTGGAAGGCTTGCTGTAAGGTCTCCCCAGAGCCTTCTCTTCTCCAGGCTGAACAACCCCAACTCTCCCAGCCTGTCTTCACAGGAGAGGTGCTCCAGCCCTTGGATCATCTTTGTGGCCCTCCTCTGGTCTCACTCCAACAGCTCCGTGTCCTCCTTATGTTGGGGGCCCCAGAGCTGGACGCAGTACTCCAGGTGGGGTCTCACCAGAGCTGAGGGGCAGAATCACCTCCCTCGACCTGCTGGGCACACTGCTTTTGATGCAGCCCAGGATACAGTTGGCTTTCTGGGCTGCAAGCGAACATTGCCGGGTCATCAACCAACACCCCCAAGTCCTCCTCAGGGCTGCTCTCAACCCATTCTCCGCCCAGCATGTATTTGTGCTTGGGATTGTCCTGACCCAGGTGCAGGACCCCACACTTGGACTTGTTGAACTTCATGAGGTTCACACGGGCCCACCTCTGAAGCCTGTCAAGGTCCCTCTGGATGGCATCCCTTCCCTCCAGCATGTTGATCGCACCACACAGCTTGGTGTCGTTGGCAAACTTGCTGAGGGTGCACTCAATCCCACTGTCCATGTCGCCAACAAAGATGTTAAACAGCACCGGTCCCAATACCAACCCCTGAGGAATGCCACTCCTCACTGGTCTCCACTTGGACATTGAGCCATTGATCGCAACTCTGAGTGCAACCAACCAGCCAATTCCTTATCTACCGAGTGGTCCATCTGTCAAATCCATGTCTCTCCAATTTAGAGACAAGGATGTCATGTGGAGCAGTGTCAAATGCTTTGCACAAGTCCAGGTAGATGACGTCAGCTGCTCTTCCCTTATCCACCAGCACTGTAACCCCATCATAGAAGGCCACCAAATTTGTCAGGCATGATTTGTCCTTAGTGAAGCCATGTCAGCTGTCACCAATCACCTCCTTATTTACCATGTGCCTTAGCATAGTTTCCAGGAGGATCTGCTCCATGATCTTGCCAGGCACAGAGGTGAGACTGGCCTGTAGTTCCCTGGGTCTTCCAAGGAGCTCCTTGTTCATCCATGCAGGCTGTGAGGGATGAAATGGCTGGACATTTGTCTCAAAGCTTGCCCACATGAAGCTGGCAGAATCTTGCAGGAAAGCGTGTGGGGTGTCGCCCGCTCGCACGACAGCAGGGACGGCGGCAAGGCCATGGTAACAGCCTGCTTGGAGCAAACAATTGGCTGTGGGCATGCGCATGCGGTTGGCACGTGAGACCCCGGGCATAGGGGGGCTCGGAGATGCAGGATACATGCCGTCGCCCTGGGCAAGCAGGATGCAAGGGAGTTCTGTGCAAGCCTATAAAAGACCACCATCCCAGACCCCAGTGTGATCACCCACCACCAAAGACCCCAGAAGCATGGACCCCTGGGATTCTGCGGATCCGTGGTGGTGACTATTTGCGCTTTTCTATCCCGAACTCTTGCTTAATTTCCCATCTTGCCTTCCTTCTTTCTCTATCGCTATTTTTCTCTCTACTCCGAGTGATTAATAAACGGGTGGACTTACGACATCTGACCTTGTTTGTGTCTTAATCTCACTTGACGGGATCGAACCTGAAATGAGAGGTTGGTCTAGCCGCCCCTAGCCTCCCAGACTCGTCTGAGGTCGGTTAGAACGCAAGGGGGCCCTCCTCTCATCCAAATCGGATCGTAACACAGGCCCCCTGGCGTTTTTGCCTGACTTCCTCTTTGTTGGGATGCATCGCTCCTGCGCTTGGAGGTGATCCTTGACGATTACCCAGCTTTCTTGGGCCCCTCTTCCCTCCAGGGCTTTATCCCATGGTACTCTACCAAGCAGATCCCTGAAGAGGCCAAAGTCTGCTCTCCTGAAGTCCATCCAGGACATCCGGTGAGCTTGCTCTGCGCCCTCCTCGGTGCCCTAAGGATCTTGAACTCCACCATTTCATGGTGATTGCCGCCAAGGCTGCCCTTGAGCTTCACATTCCCCACCAGCCCCTCCCTGTTGGTGAGAACAAGGTCCAGCATAGCACCTCTCCTCGTTGGCTCCTCTGTCACCTGGAGAAGGAAGTTACCATCAATGCATTCTAGGAACCTCCCTGATTGCTTATGCCCTGCTGTGTTGTCCCTCCAACAGGTACTGGGGTGGTTGAAGTCTCCCATGAGGACCAGGGCTTGTGAACATGAGGCTGCTCCTATCTGTCTGTAGAGGGCCGCATCCGCTCGGCCTTCCTGGTCAGGTGGCCTGTAGCAGACCCCCATTAAAATGTCACCTGTCCCTGCCCTCCCTTTAATCCTGAACCGTAAGTTCTCAGCCAACTCCTCATCCATCCCCAGGCGGAGCTCCATGCACTGCAGCTGGTCATTGACATAGAAGCAAGAGACAAGATGTGAAAACAAAAATGAAACTATGGCAGTAAAAGCACAGTTCTGCCAAGGTAACTGCATTTGTAATAGGGATTTCTACTAACACGTAGAGATCACGTCTTGTCATGCCAAGAAGGACACAGTAGTCCCTACAGTAGTCTAAAGGGCAAATCTGGCCTCAGTTGCCTAAACTACTTGAAAATTATTTGCAATATTAAACCATACCTTGGCTGTAATAAAAAGGAGAGTCAACAAATGTTTTTTCAGTTGGAAGGGTATCCTTCAAATTCTGAGATGAATGTAATTCCATCATCTCCAAAGTGCCAGTAGATGAGGAGGAAGATGATGATAATCCTAGTCGTACAAATCTTCCTTTCTTACCACAAAGCGAGCAATCTGTAGGAGCAGCACTAGATCCTTGGGGCAGCTGTACTTCATTACTGTAGTTTCTCACAGCTCCACTGTGGTGCTCAGAACGTTCTCGTTGCCATATGTAATGTGTTGGAGCAATAGCCATCACCTATCAGAACAGCCGTTAACATCAGAAACCATAAAAATAATGGGAAAACATACAGCTGAAAATGAGGAATCTGATTCATGTATGGCAGAGAATGTATACTACGTAGCTGAAATGGATATCATCTATTATATACCTGCTTCTATCTCACTAGAAAGTTTGCTACCTTAGGCACAAGTAAGTGAACCAGTTATGAATCAGATGTGGAAACACAACAGTTTACAGCTGTGTATATTCATGGGAATCATCAAAAATACCAGTTCATGCTTTGTATGTTGGACTGAAGACGGTGTCTTTTACTAACTACTAAACATCAACTAGATGGATCTTCTGGTTCACAACGTCACTGAGCAGATGACCATTGGAAGCCGGGAGGGTACGCTGGGAAAAGCATTCTACACTTGCCTTGTTCCTTGTACGCTGCCCCTAAGCACCTAATCCCACCCCAGAGATGGGATTCTAGAGTAAATGAGATTTTCTTTTTCACCAGCTGTAGTAAACATTATGTTCTTAGAACATGACAGGGCTTTTCCAGACAGATACATTGCACCTGAAAAGTGAGGGATGTCTTTCTTCCCCTCCTAATATGTTTGAAAAATGTAGGTTGTAACACTGCACTAACAGCAGAGAATGTTAAGTGTGTCCTTCTGAGGTTTTTTAAATACAGTGAAAAATCCTTACCTTAGAAAGCCAATTGAATTTATATTATTAATTTTGAAGGGATTAAAATTTCACATGAGGTGCTGGGATTTTTATTTGAAGGTTTTACTTGTGTACAAACTTATAATTCGTAAAGCAAACACACACACGAATTATTTCTAAAGTGAAGTAAAACAAATTTTAAATAAAAATATTTGCGTAAAGCAGAAAGATTCTAGTCAATAAAAACTTCACTTTTAACAGTAGTGCAATGTAAAATATTCTAGTTTACCTTAAAAGCACAGTTTCAAAGAATGTATTTTAAATGCAGAAGAAAAAAACATTCACGGAGGATAAACGGCCCATTATGTTTTAGGTGCATCTTTTCTTTCCCATGACTTGTCTACACACTTTAGGGAAGAAATTATTTGTAGAGAGCAAGATTGTTAGCTGGTATTAATTTTTGTAGTTTCAACATCTACAATACTAAAACCCTCCCTACCTCTTCACAGCAGCGTCTGCTTACAATAGCCCTGTAGTCAATTCTACTCCATAGCTGATCTCTTAACTTTAAGAAATCAGGGTAGAGCTTTCTCCAGGCTTTTCCCAAAGCCCATGGGAAAATTTCATACTTGGATTCTTCATTGTCTTCTTCAACTGTATTTGCCAGATACCTTAAAAAAATATTTATGTTTGTGTCTGTAAATGTTGTTCAGTCTTAAATCACTGTATTGGTATGATTTCTAACATTAAAAGACATAATATTGAAGTAGTTCTTTTTCCTAATATTGTGAGAAAAACTGCTAACAAAATACAGCCTTCTCTCAGGAGTACAGTATTTTCTTAATCAGAAAGTTTCATGGGTATCTTTTGGGTAAATAGAAACTTAAGCTATTATAAAAATCACTTTACCCTCAAGTCTCCTAAATGAGTAGATATGCAAGAACTAACATACCCTGACAGCTTTATCCAAACCAGCAAGATACCCTTGCACTAAAATGCACAGTTTCAGACTGACTCTCAAAGTAAAGCTCAAAACTCTCTTACATAATTTTAAACTTTCTATTTTCTACTTTATGGATTTTAGCTATTCTTGGAAAATTATATTGCTCACATTAAATTAGCAGCAAACAACTAAATACAGGTCTACCTTCATGTATAAACAAAAACCTTAAATGACATTTTTTTAACGTCTCTATTTCTCCCTTCACTATGTGCTGCTTCTGGTTCTGGGTCATCTATTCGGACAGCAGGAAAATATTTACTTCCTCTGGATCCACCCGATACTAAATTCCTGTAAATAGTACCTGAAAAAATTATGACTTTTAGTCTCCTCCCTAATTTTCTGACTTGCTCCTAACCTAATATTCCCTCTAGTCTCAGCCTCACCAGACCCTTTGTCCCTTTCTAATCGTCTCGCTCTTCTGGCCTGGCTTTTCTCCCTTCACTGAAGTCAGACAGCTTCCTCCTCCATGCTCAGTGGATGCTACCCAGAATACCGTTTACAGCAGAAGAAACAGCCATCTTTCTCCCCCCATTAGCGTGCAAATCAGAGCATCTGAGAAGCGCTATTATAGAAAAAGATGACCTGAGCACCATGATACTATGAAAGAAAATGCTGAATCACTCTGCAGGTATAGCCAAATATGGAGAGATTATAGGTTTGGTAAAGACAGATTCCTGATTGCACCTCTGTTTCAAAGTATAGAAGTTTTAGAACTGTTTCAAAAAAGTTCTCAGAAATTCTCCAGCAACATTTTGACAGTTGACTTAAATCATGTTGACAGAAACTATAATAAAAAGTTACTCCCGGCATGCCTATCATGATGAAATATTTCAGTACAAATGACTTCAAGGCTGGCAAAGATATAAAATAGGGTCTTATAACAGGAAGTGTGAGCCACATATATGTTGTCATGTATTGTCCTGCGTACATTTCTCGTAATGCTTAAAAAAGTTCAGAGATTTACAGTTTGGTAGGCAGAATGCCATACTATGTATCACAACACCAACGCAAATGTCCCCTCACTGCTGCTCAAGCTTGTTCCACACAGGTGGTCATCAGAGGAAGAATACTGAATTTGCACTATTTATATATATAGTATGTAGATTACGCTTCTATACTTCATATAGAACCCAAACAACTACACAGTCATTAAAGAAGTCTCATCGTGTATCGCAATTATCAGTGGCATAAACAAAGAAATAAAATAATGCAAAGTTTATCCTAATAAAACCTAATAAAACCAGATAATTTTAAAGTACTTACAGAGCGACAAAGAAATTGAGTCTGGTGTGCTCATTTATAGTGAAGTTAGCTCTCTTGAAATAAACGAAAGTCATTGCCAAGAGATACTGTTTTAAAATGTAAAATGTTACATTCATTATTAAGTATTAATCTTTTATTTCAGTACATCATTTCCTAAAATGTTTCACACATTTATCTTGCACCGAGATATTTTGGTCATTTTTATCAATGAGGAAAGCATAACTTGAGTTTCTTGAAGCTTCCGTATGTACACATTAGAAAAAAATTATGGTCTGTATTTGCATTACAGTATCATTTGATTAAGAGCAGATTTTTCACTCAATAGATGTTCTATTAACTAAGAGGGAAATACACTTACCTTGTCTGCAATTTTGCAGCAATAGTCCATCCAAAGGAAGTCTTGGATTAGATCATCAGCTGCAACAAAAAAGTTGTAGCATTTCAAACACCAAATTTTTTTTTGTTAGAAAGTATTTGTAAATAAGTAACAGATGGTCCTTTTATTACACCAAATAAAAAGAAAGAAGCTAGACCCAGCAGCAGAGAACAAAGAAACTGAGTGGAGAAAGAGATTAAGTATGAAAAAACTTAAGCGACAAAAGAACACAAACTACCAGAAAGGCAAGGTGGAAAGTCTAGTGATGGCATTTCATTCATTCTCAAGTAATAGCAAGTGAAGGTGAAAAATCACCAGTATTTTTTTCTATTTACGTAACTTCTTCCTGCATTAAGTGGTTCCATCTAATAGCATACCGCTATTTCTGATGAACCATAGACCATTGAGATCTCTGCACCTTCATTACCTGACAGCCTTTGTAAGGCAGTACTTGCTTATTTGTGGTCAGTGCATCACTGTCTGTGAACACGTACTATAACAGGATTACCGCAAACTCTCTCTGATTCACTCCTGTATTCAAGTTTCAAATAAAACCCAAGTGTATTCTGCCACTATTACTTAATCTCTTCACTAAACTAAATAAATACAAAACCACATATGAGAGAGACAAATGCAGAAGAGATGCTACAACTCCTCAGATTTTCTTCCCATTCCACTTCTTGCCTAAATGTTTATTCCCACAATAAATAACAAAGACTGGGAGCCCAGCCTTTTTTAAGCCTTGTGTAAAACAAGATGTACATTGTTTTATATGTATTTGTTGAAATATAAGAGAAAATAGAAAGGAAAGGGAAATGATCATAAAAAGAAGTATCACCTTGGTTTCATTTGTGATTTAAAAAGACACTTTTCATCAGTTTGGTAGCATTTTTTTGTATTTTTAACTTAAGCATTAAATATTTATACACTAAAATATAGCAACAAAATACGTTTACACAAAGACATGGCCATTAGGAGCTATATAAAAAGCACTCCCAAAATTAATGAGCTTAGAAAACATACTTGCTTAATAGTTTTCTACTGTTCAGTCAATGCTTCAATATTTATCATTATTAACCTACCAAATAATTTGAAGAAAGCTGTCATTTCCTGACGCTGAATAACTACACGTGGTCCCTTTGGACATTTATATTTAGGACTAAGAACCTTTTTTTCACAATTTTCTTCATGGTCTTTACAAGTAGGCCGCTTTAGTCTGATAAGGTTTTTTTTCCAATATGATCGGGATGCACTTGATTTTACACGAACAGTGACAGTGGGAGGTGTCTGACACACCAGATTGTGTCTCATTTTGGTAAGTAAAGGTTCCTGCTAAAAAAAAGAAGAAATAAACTACAAAAATAGTCAGCTTGAGCAACAGTTCTCTGTATTTCTTTTGTTCAAATTAAGCGTTTCAATAGAGCTTGTATGTCAGGTGACAAAAAATTGTGTCAGTACTAATTATCTGAGTCTTGTGCCCTAAGCTAACTATGTGGATTTCTTTAATTTAGTTCTAATTTGATAAAGCTCTTTTTCAGTGGAAGGCACCATCAATCTTTTTCCATTCAAAATTCTGAAAAATGGAAAAAAATCCTTTCCAGAAAAAGTTGCCATTTGTCAGTTCCTCATAGCTCTACACACTTACTCAGATGTGCCAAAAAATACCCATTCCTCCCTTGCAATTTGTGACTGTGTATTTTTAGAAGAACATTAGTAGAATTAATGCAACAGAACCATAAGCAAGCCATACAACATTAAAATTGAAGTCTTGAGCTCTTAATTTTTGTAACATTTGGTTATAGCCATTGGAAATAAAAACTTATCCCTCCAGTAGGACATATCCTGAAGGCATAAACAAGGAAACAAACCTGAGGTGTTTGTAACTGTAAAAATCAAGCAGATACCAAACGGAGTGTGAGGAAAGGTACTTTTACACAGGAGCAAATGCACTTACTCCTTCAGTAGGTCTCTCCACAGAGCATAGAGCCGTCTGAGGCCGGCTCATAGCAGCCCACCTGGCTCTCCAGCCCCT